TAACATGGCTCCTGAGCAGCTGCAACTTACTAAGGACAGAGTTTTAAGAGCACAAGAGTAAAGGTGCCGCAGGGCCACCTTTTCTGTCAGAGCTGCTAATAAACGCGCCCACCTTCCACGATCTATGTATCTTTCCATAAGTTTTCTTGATTTCAGTTTGTGTAAGTCTCATGGCATGACCACGACCCGCTGTGGTTTACAGCAGCCCTGCTTTACTCAGCAGACACTCTTCTCTGCAGCTCTGATCCAAAGCTAACCTCCCTTCCTGTCTCCCAGTTCCCTTCAAACAGGACCACAGTCAAGCCCAGCTCACTGGAGTCCCTCACCTCTGTCATTTGAGACCACAGCAAAGTGCCCCTCATCTAAGTGTTGGATGTGACACCTCAACTGGGCAGAAAGATTGGGTGTTCCAACCAGGCGCCAAGGTTATGTCTCTGTACAGCAAAAGGATGGAGTAAAACTTGGTAAAATTCAGTCTATCAAGAAGGGCAGCGTGGGGTGAGCGCCTTCCCTACTGGCCGCAGGTGGTATGAAGGAGTGTTCTCCATAAGTGCCCATGGAAGCCGGGTGCCCCTCATTTCTGCCATTTGCTCATGCTGTGCCTTGCACTGGGTGTCCTGTCCATCCTGGCACCTAGAGCATTTGAAGTGCTGGCTGAGGGGCAGGTGCTCACACTGCAGGGATGGCAGCACAGCTCCACAGGCAAAGCTCGGCCTGAGCTCTCACTGGGCTCAGACAGCAGCTGGGATCCTTGGGCCAAGAGCAGCAGCACCCACAGGAAACCCTACTCAGTCTACCGACACAGGCCCCATGGGTGAGGCAGGGTTCCTGGGCATTTGAGCAAGGCTTGTGTCATCAGAAGCTCTGTCTGCTGTAACGGGGTGCAAAAGAAGGACATCTGTGTACTGGAGGGCAATCTGACCTGATGAGAGTACAGGGCTTCCGCAGGAGGTGGCTCTGGGTCTGGAAGCAGCAAGAGCCTGAGTAGGCGGCAGAAGGTGGGAGGCTTCCTGGCAGAGGCATCCATCCAGGAATGGAACCCCAGCAACCAAGGCGCCAGAGCCAGGGCTACAGGGCCCAGACCCTGGAGAGGCCTGAGGTCCAACAGAAGGGTCTGGAGTTAACCCTAGGAACACTGTGTATGCTTCTCCCCACACAGAACTGCTGGAGGAGGGAAGTGTGCCTGGGAGCTTTTAAGCCAAAAGGGACCCTTTGACCCAGACTTGTGCTTGCAAGTCAACAATACTTCCAAGCTGTCTCTCAGAGGTCACTTACAGGAATCTGGCCTTTCGAAGGCTGCCAGGCTTTGAGGTTGTGGGCAAGGCTCTTCTCTGAAGAGACCAGAAAATGGAAGACAACAACTCTGTCTTCTAACAGGGCTTCAGCCAAAATGCCAGCATGGGCCTAGTGCCTGATACCAAGTGGCTCTGTGAGGGAGAATCCACAACGGCAGAGCAACACGAGAGTCTTCACGGGCAGCAGAACCACAAACCTGCACCAGCCCCCCATCTCTTCTCTCCTACTCACAGGGGTCAGGGCACAGCGTGTCCAAACACGCTCACATGGGGTTGTCCAGCTCTTGTGAGTGGCAAAACCCCCTTTCTAGTGGCAAAACCCCCGCTTTCTTCCAAGTCATCTCCTTGGAAGAGAAATGTACAAGGACTGACTGTATTTCCACATACTGGCAAGAAGCAATTGGGAAATGGTGGTACAGGGCTTGAGGGTGCCCCAGACACCCCTGGATGTGCCTGTTATTCATAACTGCCTTGCTGGTACAGAAAGGTACTCTGCCAGGGGACCTGCCAACCCTCCCAGGATGATACAGGTGGAAAAACTCACAAGAAAAGGGGATAACTGTCTCCATGCCACCCAGGGGAAAAGTGCAGCTGATGGTGGGGGAGGCATGAGGTGAGAAACCTCAGAGCTACCCATGTCTGCAAAGCCTCCTTCCTGGGCAGTGTTATTGCCCAGGCAGGCACACCCATCCTTGACATAAAATCCCTGAGAAGCAGAGAGGACAAAGAGGAAGGTCCCTGACCTCAGGGAGCTTACACAGAGCCAGGGAGGCAGAATCAGGCAGTCAGATAAAATATGCTACAGGCTAGGTGATGATAAATGGATGTGTGAGAGCAAGGCCAAGACAGAACTGCGGAGCTGGAGGTTCACAGAGGAAGTCCAGAGACAGCCTCCCCAAGAAGTGGCACTGGAGTCAGGCCTGGAGACAGGGGTGGGACTGCCAGGCTAAACACAGGACGGCCAGCTGAATGACGGACGAGCTTCAGGACTAGTATATGCCAACACTGCCGGTGATCTGCTGCATCGGTGGCCCTGTACCGGCACACAGGGCAGAAGGCCCAGGGAAGGCAGGGTTGACTCCAAAGGCAAGCAAGCTGAGCAGGTGCTCAGAGACAGTCCCTGCAGCCCTGTGAAGGTCGAGGCTTGTACTCCAAGTAGGACAACAAACTTTTGAAAAATTATGCTACGTGCAACATGATCCGACTTAGGTTTTAAAGGCTTATTCTGGTATTGTGTTGAAAATACATTCAGGGGAGGGGGACAAGGCAGGGCAGTGGGCGCAAGGGGGTGATGGCAGTAATAAGGTTACACCTCTATACATATGTGCCGAAATGTGCATGTAATTGGGGGAGAATGCTCGCTGAAGCCCCATTCAGGGACTCTCCATCAAAGATTTCTCCAGAAATCTTCTAGTATGTATCACTTATGGAAGGAAAGGAATCAGTTCTCCAAATAAATTTTATTAACTCATGAGAAAGGCTGAACTAAGGAATTTGCCTTAAGCCCTGCATTATCATGCTTCAAAGATAAAGGAAACCCTCATCCCAGAAGGGGAAGTTTCTGAAAAATTTCAAGCTGTCCCTATCATCAGAGAGTGAGACCAGATGGAGCTGAGGACTAGGGAAACCATCTTTGCTGATCCAGTTGCTTGGGTCAGCGGGGCTCTAGACCTGGGACTTCTGGCTGGATGGGGACTTGGCTTCAAGGTTAATGCTTTTGCTTTCGCAGAGCAGGGTATCATGGAGGGCTTTTCAAAAGCACACACACACCCAGCCATCTGCTGCAACCCCATGGTGATACAGTCTATTCACTACCGTCACCCCCCCAAAACCACTCAACTCTCCTACAGCAATAAACACTTGAAACTACCAAACACACCATGTCTTTGCCACACACTGCAGGTCATATGTAACAAAACCAATGTGTCTTCCTTTGGAAGAGCAGTAGGCTAACATAACCCTCTCCAGATGACATTGCTGACACTTGACCAATGTTCCACCCTACAAAAACAATAATTTCACTTTCAGCTCATTGAAAAGATACTCAGGGAATAATCTTATATTAGCTTGGTCTGCAAAACATAAATTGTATCCCTTCTCTGAAAACTCAGAAGAAAAGAGATTTTAGTTGTTACAGCAATTTAATAATGAGCAACAGCAGCCACACATCTGCTGCTGGACGAGGTTCTATGTGGGAACCAGGCCTCGGATCCTCCAGAGCTAGACTATATCTGTGTGGAGTGGGGGCTATTTTCTCAACATCTCTGCCCCGTTGGCATGGAAAAGAATTTCTGTGAACCACAAATCTTGAGTCCCTAAGTGTCCTATAAAACGAAGATACTATAAAACAAGCTAATAATTATAAAATTTCAATTATTAGGCAGAGAAAGAGTAAGTGAGTATGTTTTATAGGCATGCTTTACTCAGGAACCTGGCCTAAGGCAATCTGGCCAGTGTTCTGTTCTGCCAGCATAGGTTTACCACTGCGAAATCTGACCTCATGAGAAACACCTGCCTGTCTCAGGTGACCCACCTCACACAGAGAAGAGGCCTTGCTGGGTAAGGCACTGGTCTCTAGAGCTTCTGAACTTGATCAACAGAGTGATGGCCAGCAGTGACTCCCCAGGACCTGGCCTGATTTCCTGTGGCTGGAAAGATCAGTTTCTCTGAGACATCTTTTCTGTTTACAGCAAGCACACTTTTGATGCTGCCCCCACAGTCCACCTTGCAGAAGGGAGAACCCTGAGCTGCCCCTGGAAACTGTCTTGGTGTTTAATTCATAACTCCAGACAGCAGATCAGCAGGAAAGAGTAATCGGCATTGTTTAAGATTTTTCTACGTGTAGTTTTAATGCGCAGCGCACCCTGATTCCCACTAACCATTTAGTCCAGTGCACTGGTAAAAATAAGTTCGTAAACACACAAGTACCCAAAACGCCAAGTGCTTGCTGGCTAATTTTTTTTTTTTAAATTTCTAAGATCAATTATTGACTTTCTATTTGCGTAATTTTCTTAAGAGAAAATTCTAAAAATTTGAGGAGGTGAAATTCACGTCCTACCTAATAAGCAAAATCACATTCTTCAATGTTACCGATGTGAAATTCGAACCCGATCTCCCTCTAAATCCCCTTAAATGCAATCGCAGCTCAAAGCTGGGGGCCCTTCTTATTTGCACAGGCAGAACGTGCGCAGCATCAACACCTCAGAGGATGGATTCACCGAGCTTCTTCGCAGGCCAAGGCAGCAGAGCTATCTGCCCATCCCTCCCCGGGAAACCCCCACTGCGATTCAGATGCTGCCCGCGATGGAGGCCCAGCCAGCGGAGGATGGCCAGCCCCGAATCCGAGCAGAGGCACCTGCTGCGCGGGAGGCTGAAGGAGGCCTCTGCAGAGGCCCAGTCCTCGGCAGGGCTCGCGCTCACCTGGTACGCGCAGCTCTCCTGATGGACCATCTCGGCGCATCCTAGGGCACAGCCCCACAGCAGCGCAGCGCGGCGAGGCTGCGGGCAGGCGTGGGGCAGCGCGGGCAGCGCCCGGGAAGATGGATGCTGCCGCTGAGCAACCTGCGCAGCCGCCCAGTGCGGGCGGGGCTGGAGGGAGGGCGGGCACAGCCCCGCGCCACCAGCCAATGGCACCGCGGCACCGAGGGCCGCCGGGCCGCGCGACCCGCGGGTGCCGGCGAAGGCGGTGACCGAGTGGGCAGGCCCGGCCGCGCCGAAGGCCTGGCCGCGGGAGGGGCGGCGGCCGATGGTTCGCGGGGAGCCGGGGCCTGCGCGCCCTCCCGCTGCCGCCCCTCCAAGGCAGGAGAGCTGGAACTTTCAACAGGCTAAAGGACCCGAGAGCGGCGCTTTCCGTGTTGGGTTCTGAATTATTCGTCAACTTTGCAACTAAAGGGAGGGCCTTCGCTCTTCAAAACACTGTATTTTGTGACGTTTTGGAGTCTCCATTTATTTTCGACTTTCTGCTTTTAAGGTAAATAGAAATAAGATGGAATAATTCCCCCCTTTTTAGGGAAAGAGCTTATTAAAATATTAGTATAATTTATTCATTTCATGCAGGTGTTTGCTGCTAAAAGGCTTGGTACATATGTATCTCCCAGTCTGTGACTCTAACCTGGACACTCCAGATGCAGCAGTAGGGCCCTAGAAGCCCACCACCCCACCAGTAGGTCAGCTCTGGACTTGCAGACCATAATAAAAGAACATCAGTGGGCCACCTGTGTCTGGGAAAACCCCCGGGGGGCCAATTTCTGAGTGACTTCAAGGGCCCTGCTAGGCCTTTAGGAAATGCAAATTCTTCACCACAACTTAATGACAGAAAATTAAGGGAGAAAAATTTCCTCATCCACATTCCTTAGTCGCCACAGGTGACTCTTAATTTCCCTGAGCACATAAGTGACACTCAATAAAAAAAGTGACTGAATTTTAAGTCACCAAATTAAACAAATCAGAAGGTCAGAAGAGCTATTATTTTAAGCCACTTTAATACCCTTCCATCCCCTCAAAAGCTCTTCCTCACAACTAGTAACCAGTCTCCATTGTGCTACTGATAGGGAAAACAGCCCCAGTTTGCCCAAGACTCAAAGCCAATGTTTTAAGTTCCCACAGGAGCACTCTTCTGAGAAATCCTGAGTTTGTTAGCGAGGTTTAGTAGGGTTTCTAAAATTTTCTAACAACAGTTGTTTCTTGGAAAGAGGAAAAACTATTTTTATAAGTACTTTTAACTTTTGTAATTTGAGGCTCAAACAAGAGAAAAGTTCAACCCATTAATTCCACTCCACTATTGTGCATGCTGCCTACTCCTGTGGGCTTTCCCGGAGGTGGTGGGAGAGGTGGCTGCAACACCAGGGCCTAGGGGAAGGACAGGCCTGCGGGAAGCCCCCAGCCTCCTCCCTGGGGCCCAGATAGAGGCAGGCCACATACAAGGCACCGAACCACAGTGACAGCTTGGTACATGAAGCAGAAGCCAGGGTAGGCGCTGAGCCTTGGGCAGTGAGGGGTGCAGAAAGAGGACAGAAGCATCCCAGAGGAAGGAGCCAACACACCCCACCCCAAGCGCCATCCTGCCACTGGGCCATCCACACGGCTGAGATAGACTCCCGTGTGCAGATCTTGGCCATTCAAGCAACATCAGCAAAGGTGCTGGGTCCTGGGTACAGCAAGGGAGGTGGGCCAAGGGAAGGAGCCTGGAGCATAACAGGTGGGCTGGGTCAGCAGGCTCCTCCTGGGGACAGCGCTGCCTTCAAAGGTGCCAGTGTTTCACATGCCAACTTCTCCAAATCCGGGAACCTCTGGGCTCAGCAGCATGCTCCCAAGGGACGGCCGCTTGCTGGTCTCTGCTCTCTTCTGGAAACACCAAGGGGCTAGATATATTACATAAGCTCCTGCAGACATTTATCATGTGTGGTTAAAAAAGTCCACACACGATCTTGATCTTCACAGTTGTTGCTCCATAAATAGGGTCGGTGACTCAGAGTGGCTCTGGGGAGGGCGGATTTCTGACAACTGCATCCAAATCCTGTCAAAAAACCTCCCGAGAGATACAAACAAGTCGGAAAAAGGAATAGACGAAGCAAGCTTCTCTTTACAGTCATTCGTTGGAAAGGACTTTCTGTTATAATGTGGATTATGATTTGGCAGTGGAAAAAAAAACTTGAAACAAACCCCAGCTGTCACAAGAACATATGAGCTAGAACAATTTGCCAAACTATATTAATATTTGTTGTTTTTGACTAAAACACATTGACAAACTTTTAATTTTAAACACAGTCTGCGTAGCCCTGAGATCCTTTCCTGGTGGTCTTTACACTTCCCTTCCCATTCAAGTGCTCTTTTCCTATTTAGATGGAACCTCGAGAGGTCACTGAACCCACACTGTTCCTCTCCAGATTTGCAAACTGAGGCCTGAGAGAGCTGGGACATGCCCACCACCAACAGAACAGCATCCAAGTATGGAAAGCAAGCAGCAGACACGATTTTCTGGATGGGTGCCCAGTGAGTGTGCTCCACATCCATCAGCTCTGCCATGGCCTGCCACAGCAGTGCACAGCAAGTGGGGCCTGTGGGGCCAGAGCAAGTGGAGTCTCATGAGGGGTGGGACCTCATGAGGGGGCCCCTGCCTGTCCTGCCACCAGGGGAGGACACAGCAAGCAGAGAAGCAGCCCTCCCAGTCCGCACAAAGACAAATGCTGAATGGGGGCTCTCTGGGCTTGAGAAATAACCCGTTTCCACGGAGCCAAGCAGGCTGGCTTTCAAATCAACCTACCACACAGTCAGAGCGAGGCCACAGCGAGGTTTTACCCAGATCCAGATTAGAGTCATGTTTTACAAGAAGGAAGATGAGAGTATTTCAGCTGAAATGTTGTTCCTGTTTCTACCATAATACAAACGACTGTGTCTTTAAACCTCCATTTTTTTTTCAATTAGGTAATTAGTAGCAACATAATGAAGGAGTGTTTTTTTTTAACATTAAATATAGGGTAAAAAAAATCATATCAGCGGCCCTTCCAAGCTTAGTTTCAGAAGTGAATGACTGGGGTCAGGAGCTGACCTGGAAGGGGAATGGGAAACTTCCTGGCCCAGGCCATGTGAGCTGATTAGGTGTTTGGCTTACCCAGGTGTATAAACCTGTCAAAACTCACTGCATAAAATATTTTAAATTTGTGGATTTCATTATATATAACATTTACCTTTAAGGGATAGAAAAAGCCAGTTACCAAAATTTGAACTCCATCCACCTAACGTTGTGCAGGCTGAAGTCTTCAGGGGACATTTGTATGTTTAAGCTCACCCTAAGTTCATCAAATAAATTGGTGGGGAGCAGAGTGACAGGCTGAGGAGAGCCGTGGCAGAGCAGGCCCTAAGGCCTCGCCCGCAGTCCAGGTGGCACGTGACTGGCACTTGTGAAGAAATTTGCACTTCCGCACATTCACAAAGAGATGCTGGGAAACACGATGTTCCTGACCCAGAGCACAAGTCAGCGTCACCATCCAAATACTCATAAGCTGCTTGTCAGAAGCTCAGAGAGCAAGGGATGGTTTACGTGACTCTACACTGTGCTACTTCACGGAGAAGCACGAGAAAAGAAGTAGTGAGGTATCAGGGAACACAATGTCCTCCGACTGGCCCCCAAAGAAGAGTGAGCTGCTGCTGCGGCCAGGCACACCCAGCATGGTCTGACAGGGGCTCTGGCAGGGCTTTCTGCACAGCACTTCCCTGTGTCCCCTGGATTCTTGAGACCCCCTGGTGGGAACAAGGTCTAGATGCTCCTGCAAGCTGCCCCTGCCTCTCAGGATGGGTGAGGCTCAGTGGCTGCTGAAGGAGCCTCATGGCTCCCAGGGTCTTGCGCTTGCTCAGGAGAGCCCAGGAAGAGCACCGGGGCCAACACGACTCAGTGTTCTGCTGCCGCTGGCTTTTCTGGTGTCTCTCAATGGATCCAGAGCACAGATCGGTTTCCTCACTGCTGACCCCCACACCTGACCTGGTGCCTGCAGACGGCAGGCCCCCAACAACAGAATGAATGAGGCCACCACTGGGGGCCACCTGGCTTCTCTGGCCATGGTTTCCTCTCCTGCTGACCACAGGGTTGCTGCTGGCTCTGGGATGACAGCAGGATGAAGTGGAGGTGACCTCTGAGGCAGCAAAGGGTTCCCAGCAAGGGACAGGAGGGTTTCTCTCTGTCCTAATTACAGGCAACGGCCACCACCCAGAGAGTGCAGAGGCCTGCAGGAGCGAGGATACCATGGGGATGGGAAGGAAAAGACAGGGACACACTCTAAGACACGAAGGGAAGAGCTGTGGCCCGGCTGGTCAGCATCAGGGTGGACAGGACAACATGGCGAAGCCTCGAGACCATTGATGGATGGAACTAGTGCCCTGGAAAGAAACAAGGATGTTAGGAGAGTGGGTTGGGCGGACGGAACTGAGGGTCTTCTGCACAAGGAGGACAGCCAAACCTGTAGAAGTGGACTGGTTGAGGGAGGCACTGGAGAGACTCAAGGCCATCGCTTGGGGGCATGACCCCCTTTTGCCTCCCCTGGCAAAGGCCCTCACTGCAGTCCCCACCTGGAACTTAGGTTGCTAAGCTGCAGGCATTGAGATGAGAAGAGAACCCCAGGTCCCATGGGCCCACAGGATGACTACCAGGGTCTGCAAGGGGAGGAATTGGGTAGATGGGGGCACAAGAAACTAGTCCAACACTCTTGGCTTTAAAGACAGAGGGAAAGGCTGCAGCCCAGAAAGTGGGTTGCCCATAGATGGTGGAAAAGGCCAGGAAAGGGGTCTCTGTACAGCCCCCAAAGGAATACAGCACAGGGAGACACATTTCCAACTCCTGGCTTTCAGGGCTGCAATGCCATAAACTCGTGTTGAGTTCGACGTGGGATGATCTGTTGCTCCACCAATAGAAACTTAACACGTGGGTGAAGGTAAGAGGGCAAGAGGTGCAGAGGAAGCTGGAACTGGCACCACGGAGGCCTGGAGGGAGGGGCCTGGAGGGAGGGGCCTGCAGAATGCATGCTGCCAGGCTGTGGCCAGCGTAGGAGGAAAATTATGGAGCCAGAAGCTGACTGTGTAGGGGTGCAAAGACCCCAGCTCCAACTTTAGAAGTGCATGTTGGGGAGGAAGCTCGGGGTGTGTGCTCAGAACGTGAGCATTGGAGCCGGGAGCACTTCTATTAAAGTTCACTGAGCCAGAAGCCCAGGGTGCATTCTGAGCTTGGCAGAAGCAGAGAGGCTGCTGCTGGGCTGGTGTCCCTGGGGAGACCCAAAGGTGAGGTGGGCAGCAGGAACAGAGGGAGAAGGTGAGGATGGAGGGCAGAAAATGACCACAAGGGCCGGTGCTAGAAGAGGTGGATCAGGAACGCCAGGAGTGTTCATGCTGCCTTGGAGCTGAAGATGCAGTGAGCCACAGAGAAATGTTGAGTAGGAAGAAAGTCTTGGTGCAGATGAGGGCACACGGCATGCACCATTGACAGCCTGGGTCCTTGTAGGAGCTGCTGTAAGTCAGGGCCCCCAGGCAGGGAGATAGATAGGGCGACCAGATAGGCCAGGCTGGTGTGGGGGAAGCTTTTCCATGAGATTCCTAAAATGTGCTAGGTATGGGTCATGAGGAGGCAATGGCTCACCCAACATAGCAGGAGAGCGTGAGATATGCTAGATTTAGAAAATGAGCAAGCGGAAGACAAGGCCAGAATCGTGGGCAGCTCCACTTGGGTAAGTTAGTACCCTGGTGTCAGGCAGATGTCCACGTGAGTGCTGAGCAGAGGAAAGAATGCAAACATGAAGAAGCATGTGCGTGGGCCACCCTTGGGTGCCTCTGTGCTGGCCCCGGTCTTCTGCCAAATGCAAACCCAATCCTAGCTCTGCCAGGCAAAGTGGTGGGCTTGCTGTCTGACAGAGCTGGCTGGGTGCCCCACAGTGAAGATCCAGGCAGAGGGTGCATCTGGACTAGGTAGTCCTCCATCCAGCCTCCCCCACCGCATCCTAAGTGCTTCAGCCCATCCCATCTCACCCTGGCACCTTGCTGTGTGTTTTCAGCAGATTTGATGAATCGTGCCATCTGACTTCAGGGATAGAGTGTGGGGCAGAGGGTGGCAGGTGCTACTGCCTCACAGACCTGGAGAGGAAGCCCCAGAGGAGGATGGTACTAAACCCAGGATGGGAAGCCAGGGAAAGGTAAGAACCAGACAGGTTAGACTTCCTATCCTTGTATTTATAAACCAGAAACCTACTTGTGAATCTTATATAAACTATGTAAAATAATTTACTCAGAAGTTTGACTACTCTGGCCTTCATTACACTTATGTTTTATTACCTCAGGTTACATTAAAAAGTTTCCTGAGAAAATTACTAGTATGATTGTCACTTATTTTCTTTTTTGAAGTATTATAATCTGCTTTTAAACTGTAACCTATACACAAAAATATTCAAGTCTCTCTACACTCAAGATGAGGGGAGAGTGCCTGTACTCCCAACTGTGCCTGTCCCAGCAAGACGCCCTCCCCTGAGCACTGCCCTTCACCTCACTGCTGACCCCCGGGCTGGACAAGAGGCTGTGCTAGTGGAGTGCCATCCAGAGTGCCACCTACTCTCATAGGCAGCTCAGATCCCCTCTCCTAACTGCACATGCACAGGAGGCCTGCAGCTTTCAGGAAGGCCAGAACAGGGCTGCACCCCAGTCCAGGAAATGATAGCTTCAATATCGTAAGGCTTGAAAAGCCACCTGGCAGGATGAATTAAATATGCAACTGACCAAAAAGAGGTGGAAAGAAATACTTCACATGGACCAATAGGGGACAAAGTCACTCCATGACAGGAAATGTAACATTCTTCTCACACAGCCTCACAGGCCAGTTTTTCTCCCGACGACGATCTCTGAATTGCATTTGTGTTTGAGAACTCTATTTCCAATTTTATCTTCTGGGGGTTGAGGATGAGGTGTTTAGCAGCTCAGTAAAATGGGTGCAAATTAGTCTAAATGCTCCTGCAAATCTGGGTGGCTGCAGACGGTTTGCAACCTGCTGCATCAGGCAGAGCTCCAGCCGTGGCATTGCGGTACCTGCAGAGCAGAGAGGCTGCCCAGGTACATGCTCGTCACACCTGGTCCTCCGCCTCCCCCATGCTCCTTCCCCGTGTGCACTAACATTCACGTGATGCAGGAAATTAGCAATTGAGGCACAGGCAATCTGGGTGACGTCTACCTGGTCTCATCCCCAGTTTAGGTCACATTTAAGGACCATTCCTTCTAGTCTCCACTTCCCAGCCTGGAAAGTCAGAGAAAGCTATGATGAAAAAGTATAAATATGCCAGAACTAACTCAAGATTTTCCCAACAGAGTTAAGCTGGTTTTCCAAGAAGGGTCAAGCCCAAAGTGTGTGGCGGGGGGAGTGAAAAGGGACAGGTCTCCCTTTGGGTCACCTAGAATACCTGGTCCACTGGAATGAGTGCATCCAGCTAACCTGATTCTCCAGTCCTGGAGGGAGGGTGGCAGGTCAGAGCCAGGTGTCCCTTGTGGGGAAGGGGACAGACCCTGCTGTTGAGGAAGGCGACCTCTAGTGGACAACTGTGTTTCCTACTAGGTCCAGGGAGCAGGATAACAAAGAGAACAATGTTAACAATGAGACCCACCATCTGACATTTCAGTGACCTTTTAAATAACAATTGTGACTTAAGCACATAAGTCAGTGGCTTTAGTAATGGCACAGCTTGCACTAATGCTAGTAAGTCCACAGTTGCAGTCCAGGCCCTCTTTGATGGTTCTGGAGTCAGAACCTGGACGAGTAATCAAGGAGCTGGTCTGGGCTTGGCTGTGCATCTCAGCAGGGATGTTCCCCGGAGCTCCTTCTTACTGATAGACTTCTAGTCCTAAGCTATACAAGGGCAGGTGTGTGTGTGGTAGAGGGTTTAAACCCAGGGGCACTTTCCCACTGAGTGCATCCATCCTAAGCGCTTTTTATACTGTGAGACAGTCTTGCTAAGCTGCCCAGGCCGGCCTTGAGCTCATGATCCTCCTGCCTCAGCCTCCTGAGTAGCTTGAATTCCAGGGGTGCACCACGGCACCAGGCTAAAATGGGTTGATTTACAAAGGCCTCCACCCTTTTTAGGCTGTTAGATGGTATGTCAGTCAGTCACCTTTTCATCTCTGTGACCAAACACCTGACAAGG